TACACATATGAACAGATACAAGAAGAGCTTCTTCCCCGCTTTTATCAGACTTTTGAATGGACCTCTTTTAATTTAATGTTAATCTCTCTCTGCACCATCTCAGCAGCTGTATCCTGCACTCTGTTACCCTGATGCACTTGAATAGTATGATCTGCTTGTAAAGTATATAAGACAACACTTTTCACTGTACCTCGATACATGTGACAGTATTAAATGAAATGAAATCAAAACACTCAATGGTCTTAGCAATGAAGGCAAACATGCTAAATGCCATCTCAACCACCCTGCCTACCTGCAACATAACTTTCAAAGGGCTAATTATCTGAACCCCTAGGTCTTTCTGTTCGGCAACACTACCCAGGGCCCAACATTAATTAAGTTAAATTAATTAACTCAACTAATTGAGTTCAATAATTTTAGGGCCTAAACTCCCATGTCCCAGCCCCCTACCCTACACACCAGGCCTTGTTACCACATAGCCTGCCATTACACACTACCTGTTATTAGTCACTAATATTAACAACTCTTCACCCTCCCAGCCTGATCGTTATCAACTCTTTGTCTGTCCAACTGCCGTTCTCTCTCTTTAGGCTCTATCCTATCGTTTACTCCTTACCCCATCCCCCTCCACTTCGTCTGCCTATAAACTGCCATTTTCCCAGCCACCATCAGTTCTGAGGAAGGGTCACTGGACCCAAAACGTTAACTCTGTTTTTTCCTTCACAGATGCTGCCAGACCTGCTCAGCTCTTCTAGCAACTTTGTTTTTGTTCCCAACATTAACTGTTTAAGTCCTGCCCTTGCTCAATTTACCAAAATGAAATACCTCGCATTTATCCAAATTAAACTACATCTGCCATTCTTCAGCCTATTGGCCCAAGTGATCAAGATCCCTTTGTAATCTTGGGTAATCTTCTTCACTGTCAACTAAACCACCACCTTTGGTGCCAATAGCAAGAGGAAACCTAACTGAGGATGGAAGCAAGATGTGGAGCATTGTGTTCTGCCTCGAGTAGTTGTACCTGAAATATTTCCCAATTGGATAGGTAATTTACTGATGCTATGTGGAGCATAATGGAATCATTAACAATTAAGCTCTGTAAATTTAACGGTGTATCAGTCGTCAGGTCTTACTTTAAAAGATTGCTGTAAAGTTTTCTTTAAATCGTAAACTATTGTGTAGTGTTATCTGATTTTCCAATATAAATATCTGAAGTGAGTCTGTCCTAGAATCACTTAAAGAGCATATCTGATCACTAAATCTTGTGGGTTCATGTAACTTATTTAAGTTGCTCTATGTGGAAATACAATGCCCTTACTATATAATTCACTAGAGGTTAAATTTAAGTATAGAGTGAATGTACACTAAATTAATTTTATTTGAATTTCTAATTGCAGTCCTTCTTCCAGCATTACCCTAGTATCCATTGAAATTGAGATTAAGCTATTAATTCTGATTTGTTACTTATTGGATTAATTAGCTGTATTAGTGTGTTTGTTTGGGCATAATTAGTTCATGTTCAATTTTTAAACAAAGTTCTGCAGTTATTAGAATATATCCCTTTCTTTGATCCAGTCAAAGTTGGAGAACAGAATTGCTGCATTTTGCAATTTTAGCCCTCAAAACTATTGCAATCATTTGAAAACAAAAAGGAAAAAAAAGTTCTGTTTGTACTAGCATTTACCATTCCAGCATGTTAGCAATATATCAGAATTCTTTTTATCCACCACATATAATTGTACAAGGTTTGTCACTCAAATGTAAAAGATTATGGGCTCATATCTCTACTTTGAATTTTCCTCACTGTGGTTTTGGATAAACCATACAATGGCACACCGAGCAAAGTACTAGGGTGTAATCTTAACCTCATTTTTTTTCTTTGTTTCTGGCAGCACCATCTCATTGTTCAACCAGAAAAAGGTGGTAGAAACAGCCTAGCATAGCCATACTCACTGATGTCTTACTGACGTGACAAATGACTGACTAGACAATACCATCACCATCCCTTGGGATGTCTTGTCCTACTGGCAGGATACATCCACTGGAGGTGAAGGCACAGTGGAATACAGTTGTGAAAGAGTCACCCTGGGAGTCCTCACATTGACTGCAGACTCGAAGTTTCATGGAATCAGATCAAACATGAGCAAGGAAGTCTCCTGCTGATTACCATTTCACCCCAACCACTACCCTCAGCTAATGAATCATTTCTCCTTCTTGCTGGACACCAGTTGGAAAAAGGACTGAGCAAGCATGGTGTCTTTAATGTCCCTTAACCAGTAGCACCACAATTGATCAAACTGGCTGATTCCTTAAAAAGAATATAGCTGCTGTACTGGGGTTTGTGGCAGCTGGTGAAGAGAGCAGCAAGAGAGAAAAACCTATGATCTTTTCTTCAGCAATGCATCTGCCATAAATGAATGTAGTATTAGTAGAAACGACTAGCACACAGTTCTTGTGGGAAACTTAATTCCTGTCTTCATGTTGCAGATATCATGGATTGTGTATAACTACCACTGTGCTGAATATGTAGATTTGAAACAGATCGAGCAACTCAAAACTGAGCATCCATGAGATACTATCGGCCACCATCTGCAGAATTGTATTCAACCACAATATGTAACCTTGTGTTTTCCCCATTATCATCACCATCAATCTGGTCCAATATAGAGTTCAGAAGGATATTTGTAACTGCTCCAAGGTTTTGTGCAATGATCAGCATTGGCATGGCGATCATGGTATTGACTTCTGTTATCAGAAGTCATCGTCATGCATGGACCCTGGAGGCCCACACAACCTGATGGAAATTAGAGGGAACGCTGCATACTAGGCATAGGACTAGGCATACTTAAAAGTGAGTTATCAACCTGTGATGCTGTAATACATGACTATTTGCATGCCAAACAGCAGAAGCAACATACAGTAGACAGAACTAAATGATCCCCACAACCTACAGATCAGATCTAAGTTGTAGTGCTGTCACATCCAGTCGTGAATGGTGGTGGACAATTTAATGACTAACTAGAGGGGCAGGCTCTACAAATATCCCCATTTTCAAAAAAGGAGTCCAACACCTCAGTGCAAAAGGCAAGACTGAAGCGTTTGCATCTACCTTCAACCAGAAATACTGAGTGGATGATCCATCAAGGCCTCCTCCTGAGGTCCCCAGCATTACAAATCCCATCTTCAGCCAATTTAGATCACTCCACATCATATTAAGAAATAGCTAAAAGTGTTGGGTAATATAGTGGCTATGGTTCCTGACAGCATTTGGGCGATAGTACTGAAGAATTGGGTTCCAGAATTAGCCGTACTCCTGTTCAAGCACAACTGCAACACTGGCACCAAACCGGTAATATAAAAATTTGCCAGGTACATTGTGACTGTGAAAATCAGGGTTAATCCAACTCAACCAACTACTTCCTCATCAGTCTACTCACAATCATCAGCAAAATGATCGACTGTGCTACCATGTGATACTAACTCTGGAATAACCTGCTTACTGATCCTCAGTTTAGGTTCTGCCAAGACCACTTGATTTGACATTGGTATAAACATGAACAAAAAAATCTGAATTCCAAAAGTGAGGTGAGTGTCAGCCCTTGACATCACTGTAAACTTGACTGCGTGCGGCCTCAATGAGCCCTTGCAAAACGTAAGTCAGTGGGAATCGGGGAAAACTCTTACTGGTTGAAGTCCAACTAGGCAGAAAGGAAGGTGGTGCTGGTAGTTGGAGGTCAGTCAGCTCAGGTCCAAGACATCAGTGCAGGAGTTCCTCAGGATAGTTCCTCACTTGGTGCAACTGCCCTCAGTTGCTTCATTAACAACCTTCTCTCAGTCACAACCTCTGAACATGATTGTCTAGTGGTAATTGCACAACATTCAGAGTCATTTGTGACTACTTGGGTACTGAAGCAGGCCTATTTGCAGCAGGGCCTAGATGACAGTGGGGCATATGCCGATAAGTACCAAGAAACATTATACCACACAAGTGCCAGGGCAGTGACCATCTCAAACAAGAGCAAATCCAACCATCTCTCCTTGACAGTCGATGATATTGTTGAATTCACAATATTGATAGCCTGGTCAAAGTCAGAAGTAACATGACACCAGGTTATAGTCCAACAGGTTTATTTGAAATCACAAGCTTTTGGAATGTAGCCCCTTCATCAGGTGAAGTGTGTCACTTAAGAGGCTATGCTCTGAAGGCTTATGATTTCAAATAAACCTGTTGGACTATAACCTGGTGTCATGTTACTTCTGACTTTGACCAGGCTATCAATATTGTGAATTCAACAATATCATCGACTGTCATGTGACTTCTCACTTTATCTCCCCCAGTCCAACCCTGTCACCTCCACATCAATTTCCTGGTGGTTAGAAACTGAACAGAACCAGCAATGTAAGTAAGTACTGTGGGCTAACACCACATAAGGAATTCTTCTGTGAGTAACTCATCACCTGATTGTCCACCATCCAGCAGGCATAAATCAAAGTTTAATGTGAGAGGGGGAAGATTAAAAAGGGACTTGAGGGGAACTTTTTCACATAGGGTAGTACATATATGGGATGAACTGCCAGAGGAAGTGGTAAAGGTGAGTACAGTTACAACATTTTAAAGGTATTTGGTCAGGTAATTAGATCAGAAAGGTTTAGAGGGTTATGGATCAAACGCAGGCAAGGGCATTTTTCTGTGCTATATGACTCTATGATTCTACGTTAATTGTATTTTTTTCTATTAGTGAAATAAAATTAGTTGAATAATACTGATATGTTCTGGAAATGATGAGCAAAGCATTTGGCAAGCAAATGAAATTCTAAACAAGTCTGAAAATTGAAATGGTTTTCTTTTTACATGGAATAAAAACTCCATGTATAATAAATGCCTTGATGTTTGTAACTGTTGGTAGTTTACACCTGTGACTGAAATTTCATACAGAAGTGTGATTTCAGAGTATGTTGTTGAATATATAAAAAAAAAATTCTCTAATCTTCTTTCACAGAGACAATTCAAGCTTTCGAAATACGAAAATCACCTTATGAAATCTTCGTTGCAGTCCATTTGTTTAGTCGGAAGCTATATCCTGCTTCATTCTGGAGGAACACCAAGTTTTTTTAAAACAAAATTGGAACGGGCTGATGTTCAGTGTCAATCCCAATCAGGACGTCTTTATTTCAGGAAAGAGTTACTCTGTCATTGGTCATATTAGTTGTTCTGACCTAATCAGATTTTTATTTTTTAAGTTGTTGATTCTGTTGTGCTCGTGTCTCCCATTTCTAAAATGTTCTGGATACTTCTGTTTTGAAATATGTGAATATTGTAAATGTCTGTGTTCCTGGGTAAAGTATTAAACATGGAGACAATGGCTAGAATTTAATGTCCTTCCTTATGGTGTATTTTGGGGGTAGGGCATTTAATCAGGTGGATGGGTAGTGGGTGGGGATACAGTTGCCTTCCTGCTTCTACCCAGATCAAGTCTATGACGAGAAAATAGTGCCCAATTTAAGGGTCTCATCACACCATTGCTGGTATTAACACAGCAGCAAATGGAGGACTCGCCATGTGTATTTCATTCAAAGACTGTCCATGCTAGATTGGGGATCTTACATGAGGAAGGACGTAGTATGAGAAGAACTAATACTAAAGTCCTGGATGGATGCTGTATCTGTAGCAACCACTGCCTATAGTGCTAGCATACAGTATAGTTACTGGTCTCTGACCAGCTTGCAGAGAACTTTCACCTCCAGAATATCTTGTTGTGGCAAAGGCCTATTAGGGTACAGTAAAGAGCATGAGTGGCACCTAATTCACTGAATATCCTTTTAAAAAGGCACCATTGAACTCTCACTGGCTCTCTAGCTGGCAGGCAAGACTCCTCTCGCCTCATCCAAAAATCACCCAATTAATCTGCGTGCTGGCTGTATATAAATTATTGGTTTCACCTGACTTGATGCATTTTCATCTCATTCTCTGATTTTCTAATTTATTTTCTTTTTTTTAACATATTTATCCTCTGTTCTTTTGCTTTTATGGAGTAATGCTACACCTTTGTAAACAGTCTTTTATTTGAAGATGTAAATGTTTGAATAGGAATCAAAACTTCACATTATTTGTCTGCTTGGTGCTATTTTGAAATAAAGAGCACTTCATTACTGAAAGCATTTCATGTGTATTCAATTTGGCCTTTCCCTTTGGTTTACTATAGCACAGAGATTTGGAATGAGTAAATTGCAAATTGAATATTAACGATGATAATCACATTGGTCTTTACAAAGGGATAACTTTTAAAATTTAGAAGGACCCAGTGAAACCTGGAGAATTAGAAGCACAAGAGATATTGAAGTATCATTTAAGATCCCAGTGTCAAATCATGTCATATGTTGTCAAATAATTTTACTTTTGTTATAACTCATGACTGGCTAGGTGAATTGTCCTAGACACTGATTCATTGTGATTATTATGTGTCACTATATGATCTGAGATGCAAGCTGGTTTGTTGCTGTTCCCTGACTCAGTCAGAAGGGAAAATAGGTTAAAAGGTAATATATTAGAGAATCCGCAACAGACGTTTACGGAGGTATTTTATAACACTCAAACTTATGTTCCACTGAGACAGAAAGACTCTAGAAAAAAGGTGCAGCATCTGCAGTTAACTAAGGAAGTTAAGGATGGTATGAAGTTAAAAGGAAAGATATACAGTATAATTCTGCAAAGGTTTGGGAACATTTTAGAAATGAGAAAATGATGACTAAAATTGGAAATTGAAGTATAAGAGAAAACTAGCAAGAAGTATAAAAATAGACAGAAAAGCTTGTGCAAATATATAAAAATAGAGTAGTGAAAGTTAGCTTTGGTGGCCTGGAGGATGAGACTAGAATTTAACGTTGGTAAACAACTAAAGAGCAAGGACATTTGAACAAATATTTGTAATCTGTCTTCATAGAAAACAAAATGCATTCCAAGAATAGTAGATCAGTAGGGGGCAAAAGGGAGGGAGGAACTTAAAAATAATTACTATCACTAGAAAAAAAGTACAAGGAAACTAATGGGACAAAGGCTAATAAAGCCACTGGACCTGATGTCCTGCAACCTAGGCCTTTAGAAGAAGTGCCTGCTGAAATAGAAGATTACAACCATAGTATCCAGTAACATTCACTACATTATGGAAAAATCGCAGCAGGTTGGAGAATCACAAATTAACACCACTACTCAAGAAAGCAAAGAGAAAAAAGGCAGGATACTGTAGGCCAGTTTGCAATCTTTAGGAAAATACTAGAATCCATTATGAGGGAGCTACTAGCAAGGTATTTCCAATAAAATTGGGCAGAATCACCACGGTTTTGTGAAAAGAGCTGAGCTTGACAGATTTGTTGGTTATTTGAGGATGTAACAAGCAGAGTGAATTAAGGGGAATGAGTAGATATAGTGCATTTAGATCTCCAATGTATAAAAGATTATTACACAAGGTGACAGTTCACAGTTTTGGAGATGATTTATTTTCTTGGGTAGAAGACACGCTTTATAGCAAACTTGCTATTGACAAAGACCAACAGGTTATCCATATCTGCAATGCAAGGATGTCTGTAACTGAGACTTCAAGTTGACTGGGATTGGAGTCAATGCATGGGAAATCCTCACTGCTGACCGGAATGCCTTGACACAAGCTGTTAGGAAGTGCATGGAGAAAGCAGAGGACAAATGAAGTTACAAGATTCCAGAAAAAAACAGCCCACTGGAGTTCAGCAAATCTTTGGCCAATTGTAACAGCTCTGGAAGGGAGGCTATTCAAAGAAACTGTCCAAATAACTAGGAAGATTGGCAAACTAAGAGGAAACAGCTTGAATAAATTGCATTGAATATTGTTTAAAATAATAGTAGATTTTCTTTCTTTTTAGCACCTTATCCATGTTGGATTCTACCTTTACTGTCCTGCAAATTAACCTCCAAACCGTCTGTTTTTCCACAGTATCAATCCCACTTACCTTCCATGTGTAATTGCTACTTTTCTAGCTAAAAATGCATTACCTCAGAAATTATGAAATTGAATTCCATCTGCACCTTGTATTTGGAAATCATTTTTATATGGGAACAGGTAGGGCCGGCTTTATTTCACTTTTACATCACCAGATTGTGTCCTTTCGTTGCCTAGTTCAGTGCAGCATTCCTGGAATCTTTCCTCTGCCTCCCTGTTGAGAAGCAGTGTCTAAGTTCTTCTAGATAGCTGTGGCCATGGGTTTGGAAGGTGCTGTTCATGGAGCATTTTTGAGTTCCTGTCGTGCATCTTGCAGATGGTACACATTGCCGCGACTGAGTGTTTTGGTGGAGGGAGTGAATGTGGATATGGTCCAAATCAAGTGGGTTACTAAGTGGGTTGTGGATGATGTCAAGCTATTCGAGTGTTATTGGAGCTGTGCTCATCCAGGCTTTGGGGAGTCAGCAGATGCATTATTTGCTTCAGGATTCTTAGCCTCTCACCTGATCTTGTAGCCACAGGATTTATGTAGTTAGTCGAGTTCAGTTTCTGGTCAGTGGCAGCCTTCAGAATGTTAGTAGTAGGAGATTCAGCAATGGTAATGCCATTGAATGTCGGGGGCAATGTTTAAGTTGTATCTTGTTAGAAATAGTTATTGCCTGACACTTGTGTACTGTGAATGTTACTTGGCACTTGTCAACTCAAATCTAGATGTTGTCTAGGTCTTCCTGTATTAGGACTGAGGAGGCACAAATGGTGCTGAAAATTATGAAATCGTCAGTAAACATTGCCACTTCTGACCTTATGGAGGGAAGGTCATTAATGAAGCAGCTGAAGGTAGTTGGATTTAGGACACTACTGTGAGGAGTACCTACAGTGATGGCCTGGAGCTGAGATGATTTATCTCCAACAACCACAATCCACTCCCTTTACAACAGATATAAATCCAGCCAGCAGATAGTCAACCACTTCCCCAGTTAAATTTGGCCTCGATGTTAAGCCATTCATCTCCCTCTGGAAGTCAGCTTTTTTGATCATTTTTGAATCAAGTCTGGAATGAGGTGGTGCTGAGTGATCAAGTGCTGCTTGATAGTTATTACTATTGCTGTGGTTATTGCTAAGTAAGTGCTGCTTGATAGCAATGTTTATGATCTCTTCCAACGCTTTACTGATGATCAAGAGTAGGTTAATAAAGTGGTAATTGATTGAGAAGGATATGTTCTGTTTTTTGTAGACAGGACATACCTGGGAAGTTTTCCACATTGTTGAGAAGATGCCAATGTTGTAGTTGTACTAGAACAGTTTGATTAGGGGTGCACCAAGTTCTGGAGAACAAGTCTTCATTTTTATTGCTTGAATGTATTCAGGGCCCATAGTCTTTGTGGTGTCCAGTGTCTCCTGCCATTTCGTTATACCACACAGAGTGGATGGAATTGGCTAAAAACTGGCATATGTGATGCTAAGGACCTTTGGAGGATGCTGAAATGAATTGTTCACTCAGGACATCTGACTGAAGATTGTTGCAAATGTTTTAGCATTATCTTTTGCACTGATATGCTGGGATCACCCATTATTGAGGGTGGGGATATTCTCCACTGAGTTATTTAATTGCCTGTCACTATTCACGATTGGATGTTTGCTTGGATGGCTCTCATTGCCAAGTTGTGGTGAGATAGGAAGAGCTATTCACATGTCCACAAACTATTGCTGAGGAGTTTCTGTTTGACTTTAGAAGGGTTAATTGAATTTTGAAAAGTCTCTTGTGATTTCTTCCTGAGATAAATACAGTCAAGTCTCAATACCAATTGAATCTGCAAGGGTAGTCATGTGACTTCTGGGATCCAATTTTCTAAGGTTCTTTATCCATTTTAAAAACAGATTGGCTTTGTTCACATTATATGTTACACACTTGTGACACTTTGTTCAAATTATTGCTATTCACATTGAGAAAAAGTGGCCTCAAGTTGGAGAATTTAATTATAATTCCTAGATTTCCTGCAATTCCATGCCCCATTTCTGTCCAAAACCTTGAATGTATTCTGTAAAATCTTTGTTTTTCTTAATCTTCCTTTAACTTAGCTGATTTATCTGAACTGGTCCTTTTATCCATAATTGATTTTTATCCTTCCACGGGATGTGACGGATAAGGCCATCAATTATTGACCATTCCTGACTGCCATGGAGTAGGTGGAAGCGAGCTGACTTCTTGAATTGCTGCAGTCCTTGAGGTTTGCCCACACCAGAGTGTTGTTAGGAACGAAGATCCAGGAATTTCACCCAGGGACCATGAAGGCACTGTGATATAGAATAAATCAGGATAGTGGGTGGCTTGGAGAAGAACATGCTGGTGGTACTGTTCCTATGTATTGGCTGTCCATGCCATTCCAGGTGGTAGAGGTCACAGGCAAAGAAGATGATCAAAGGAGCCTTTGCGAGTTGCTGCATTGCACCTTGCATATGATATACAGCTGCCACTGCATCAGTGACGGAGAGAAAGAGGCCCCAATTTTCATTCATGGATTGGACATACAGAGGTGAAAGAAATCCTGGGTGTGGGTTGTAGGCTGTACTAGGAGTCAGGCCAGGTGTCCTGCAAATTGCATGCGAAGCCTGCCTCAGGGTTTCAGCGCTCTAGTCAATGTTTAAAGAATAAAGATGAAAACATAAAACATCTCTCTTGTTCACACCCCTCACTCTAACACACTTTCCATCCCCCATTCAAGCCCCAATACTAATCTCCTTATCCTCCTGGCCCCTCATTTTCCTGTGCCACCCCATGCCCATTTAGCCATTCCCCTGGCTCTTTGTAACACCTGTACCACCCTATACCCATTTACCATCCCTCGTACCTCCCCCCTCACCCTCCCATGTCCCCAATTATTCTCATGGCATCTTTAAAGCCACTATTTCAAATCACAACCCCTACTCACAACCTTTTATCCTTCCCTGTCCGTGCCAACCTATGTGGCATTCACCATGGGGAAACCTCAGGAAGAATGCTGAATGTTTGACTGATAATGTCACTGTTGGAAAAAACACACTGTCATCAATAACAAATATTCAATACACTGAAATTCCTTTAACTAATCTATTGTAAAAACAAGCATTTCACTAACAGCTTAATCCCTTAAAGGCTAGATTCTTATG